TGTAAAAGAAAAAACTATTTTAATAGCCTTTTTTTTTTTTTTTTTTTTTTTTTTTTTTTTTGAGGAGTCTCACTCTGTCACCCAGGCTGGAGTGCAGTGGCGTTATCTCGACTGAGTGCAACCTTGGCCTCCCTCCAGGGTTCAAGCAATTTCTCCCTGCCTCAGCCTCCCAAGTAGCTGGAATTGCAGGTGCCTGCCACCATCCCTGGCCAATTTTTATATTCTTAGTAGAGACAGGGTTTCATCACGTTGGTCAGGATGGAATCTTGAACTCCTGACTTCAAGTGATCTGCCCACCTCGGCTTCCCAAAGTGTTGGAATTACAGGCGTGAGCCTGGTCACCTTTTCAAAGAATGATGAATATTCTTTGGTACTATACCAAAGCTCAAAAAAGAGTTTCTTAAACCCAGTTGTAACATGAAATCTGAAACCATATAAACAAACTTTTCCTACTGGCACATTAAAAATCCAAATGGTGGGCAAGCCACAATGTCTCATGCCTGTAATCCCAGCACTTTGGAAGGCCAAGGTGGGTGGATCACCGGGTTAAGAGATTGAGACTAGCTTGGCCAACATGGTGAAACCCCATATCCACTAAAGATACAAAAATTAGCTGGGGGTGTTGGCACGTAGGTGGATCATGAGGTCAAGAGACTGAGACCATCTGGCCAACATGGTAAAACTCTGTCTCTACTAAAATACAAAAAATTAGCTGGGCGTGGTGGTGTGCACCTGTAATCCCAGCTACTCGGGAGGCTGAGGCAGGGGAATAACTTGAACCTGGGAGGCAGAGGTTGCAGTGAGCTGAGACTGTGCCACTGCACTCCAGCCCGGCAACAGAGCAAGACTCCGTCTCAAAAACAAACCAAAAATCTAAATGGTGTGTTTTACACTTTGAATGGATCTTTTATCTATGAATGATTTTGTTATTAGCATGCACTGATCATTTGGAAAATATTGCTTCTCTAACTTACACATATCTTTCAAATGTTCACATATTTCACTATACAACATGAAAAGAATCACATCTGTTGTCACCAATCTGATTAGAAAAGTCTAAGCACTGAGAAGCTGTTGAGCTCATAGTGGAGGATAATACCTTTCGAAAATTCTAATTTTTGCTTTGACATCTCAACTTTTAACACTGGTGAAAAAATATTTGCGTTGCTTTTCTTTTTTTTTTAAGATGGAGCTTCGCTGTTGTCGCCCAGGCTGGCGTGCAATGGCACAATCTCGGGGCTCACTGCAACCTCCGCCTCCCGGGTTCAAGCAATTCTCCTGCCTCAGCCTCCCGAGTAGCCTGGCTAATTTTTGTATTTTTAGAAGAGATGGGGTTCCACCATGTTGGTCAAGCTGTTCTCTAACTCCTGACCTCAGGTGATCCACCTGCCTCAGCCTCCCAAAGTGCTAGGATTATAGGTGCGAGGCACCATACCCAACCTTAAGTTTTTTTTCTTGAAGTGACAGTCTCATTTAATTCATCTTAAGAAAAATGTCTACCAAATACCCAAATCTAAATAATCATAGTTTGTTGGTCACACATTTCATGTTCCATGAAAAAAATGACTAGTTTGGCTTGCAACTCTTAACAATTGCACAAATACTTCTCCTCGAGAAACGATTGCATTTTGGTATGTAGAAATGCTTTATGCACGCATCCCATTTCATCACACACAATATTACAAAGGTATGTATTTAATAAGAGTCAAGATTTAATAAAATTAATTTCTATTTTGTTATCAAAGGCATTATCAAATGTAACTGGCATTTTTTTCTTTAATGGCTGATACATAGCAATAAAGAATACAGTTTCTACAGTCATAGCCTTAAACTGGGAAAAGGCACCAGCAGCTTTACCCACCATTCCAGATATCAATGCAGGTAAAGAAGCAAACAACATGCAAGTTTTATTACAAAATTAGTTTTGACCTAATAGACCAAAGAAAGGGTCTCAGGAACCACCTCCCACCCTCAACCGTCTGGAGATCGTATTTTGAAAACTGATGTTGTAACAGATGGCTGGCCAGTCTTTTCTTTGTTATAAATGAATCTAAAAATTATAAAAACATATTCGTTGTAACATTAACTTACAGGCACTGGGGAAACTCTTTTCCGCCTTACTCCTGGAGATTCTGATTTCACCGGGCGACCTGATGGGGAGTTTCCAGGAGAAGGGCTGCGTCGGCCTTTGGAAGCTGGTGAAGCCGCACTCGCCTGGGCCTCTCCTGGAGACTCAGCTGTCAAGTGATTCATTTCAGATCCATCTCCTTTAACTGGGATTGGTTTTACCACCTGAATCAAAGTATTCCAACATTTGATTACTTAAAAATACAAAAGGTAAGTCAATGTAAATATCATAGACTAGGAAATAAACAATGAGTTTTCATTATGAAATACTGTACCAGTATATAAGACAACATATCAATTTTTATTTAGTATTACTTTAAGCTATTAATGTAAAAGACTATTTTTACCTACATAAATTTCAGTCATTTAGGATTTAACACTAGTTAAAATGCAACCTCCTCCATTACAATTTTGTAATGCATACAAAACTGTAGAAAGGTTATTATTTGTTCTTATATACCCTAACTCATTTAATACTCAAAACCAATAGTCAAAGGTTATTAAACAAATGTAAAAAATAAGCACTCATAACTTCTATAGTTTACTTATTCAACTACTAGACCAAAGATCTAGATATTTTCTTTTTTATTTGTTTTGACAAAATGTAGGATCTTGAAACAGCACTGGGCATAATTTCAAATAGTTTAGTGACTATGCAATCATTTTGCCCTGCTTTTGTGTGTGTCTGTGTGTGTGTGTGTTTTCACAATGTTATACTACAATAGGTCAGACATATATCTCAGAAAACTAAAAGAGGCTAGAAGTTTAAAGACCAACTTCTCAAGCAGAAATGCAGTTTACAAGACTTGCCCTTTTTTTCTTTTTTTAAATTAGGGCTCTCAGACCTAATCTAGCCATGACCAAAGGCTTGTCTGATCCTTCTTCCTCCTGCGTTTTCACTTACTCTACTCCTAATTTAATACTAATCTCCAGCCTACGGCATTTCAGGCAGTATACCTTCACATGAAGAAAACTTACCCATCTTTTAAGGATCAGTTAAAATTCTTCCTTTTATGAAACTTCCCTGAAGCCTACCAGCCTGACATTCTTTCTCTTTCCTAAGTCTCTATTGCTCTTCTGTCCATCCCACACATTTGGCACACCTGGTCACAAGTTGCTTTGTGATACTGCATGTATTACTCTACTTATTATGTATGTCTGATTGTCCCATTTGGAGATACTTACACTTTATGCTTCAAGAAGGATTTGATGCAACTTACTTAAAGCATAAACACAAACAAAATCAGACCTTCCAAGTAGACTATAAACTTTACTGAAGGATAAGATGAAATCTTTAAACCATAAAATGTAGGGTGGCATAAATAAGCTTAAAGACTATGTGTTATGCATCTTATTCCACACATCTCCTCCCTCTTCACTCATGTCTATATACAGACAAGGTACTAAGGTATTTGCTAGAAAGTGAACAGGGAAAAAACCAAAATTTTGTCTTAGAGAACTAGATATTCTTAGTTCATGTGTAACAAAGAACAAATGGCTGGCCCATTTTTAAAACATTGTGATTTATGCTCTATGGTATTCTCAAAAGATTTAGGCTCTGTTTGAACACCTCCAGCTCAAGGAGCTCAGAAAGCAGCACATTCAAATCTCGGATGGCTCTGCTTCTTCAAAGGGTCTTTATATTGACTGGGTAGAAATATGCCCTTTTAACTGCCAACCTTCTACAAGATGTTTCAATAGCACTTTCTCTTTTCTAAGACATATCCTTAATTTCTTCATATTCATATCCTGGCATGAATGGCTAAAATGGTGAGGGGTTCCCACCATACCACCTCATGTGAGTTAATAAATGGAAGAAATGTGGCAACTTAGCTATAAAGACAGGACCCACAGCAACTTAAAGTACTGGTATGGAAAGGAACAATTTGATTTATTCTGTATAATTCCATGGGTTAGAATTAGAACCAGTGGGTAGAATATTCCTGACAGACTGCAGCTCAGGGATGAGGATATCCAAAGCCGCAGGGATTATCAAGTCAGGGATTATTTAAGTCAGACACAAGTCAGTACTACACATCTAAGAGAGCTTTCCGAGGCAATGGAAATGTGCCAAACCTGCACTGCCCAAAAGGTAGCCATTGGCCACATGTGGTTAATGAGCATTTGAAATGTGCTTGGTGAGACTGAAAGATTTAATAAAATTTCTATTTCGTTATCAAAGGCATTATCAAGTGTAATTGGCATTATTTTCTTTAATGGCTGATACACAGCAATAATGAATACAGTTTTTTACAGTCATAGGCTTAAACTGGGAAAAGGCACCAGCAGTTTTACCCACCATTCCAGCAGCTTTACCCACCATTTTTACTTTTATTTACATCTAATTAATTTAAATGTAAACTTAAATAGGTATATGGGCAGGCAATGATTTGGCAGGGGTGTACTTTAGACCCTTGCCAAAGTTTAGATAAATTTTAAGTTGCCATATCTGTTTTACAAGAACAAAATAAACACAAACTTGCTTGTGGAGATTAGTGCTAGGATACTGTAATATTTCTTCCTTTTTAAGAATTAAGACACACATTTTATGATGATATTCTTATAAGAATATGTATTCTTGGTCGGGGGCAATGGATTACGCCTGTAATCCCAGCTACTTGGGGGGCTGAGGCAGGAGAATCACTTGAACCAGGGAGGCAGAGGTTGCAGTGAGCCGAGATTGTGCCATTGTACTCCAGCCTGGGCTACAGGGTGAGACTGCCTCAAAAAAAAAAAAAAAAGTATTCGTATACCTATAGCAAAGGATGGAGTATCCCTGCTTTTTAAAATCTAGGATTCTAGATTTTCTTTCATCAAACCCCACACATTTTTAATTTATCTTAATCCCCATGGGTCTATTAAACTTTTTTTCATGTCAGATGAGGGTAACATGCTGACATTGTAACAAAGCTGGGGAAAGGCATATCTTATGCATGCATGTGAAAACCCAATCATTACACTTATGAATTACTTTGCAGGATCAGGGGTCAATTATTTTCTTTCCTAGAAGATTTCTGAAATTAAGGTCCTTAGATCCTGTCTTAGAGATAAACATCTAAAATAAACTGGAAAAATTCTTTTTCAAATTTACAAAGTACAGTATAAAATTCCAATGAAAGGATTTTAGATATTGACATGAGAGGGCAGTCTTGGTTTAAGCATGTACGCTTCCACCAAACACAACAGTTAAGTTCCCAGAACAGTTTAAGCTGTATAGTGAGCACAGCTTTAATTATGGTTTGTTCCAAATGACCACAATATCAAGTAAATAAAACTACTACATTTAAAATGAAGAAGAAAAGCTTACAAGAGGATCTATTTATGCTTAATTTTCCATTTCCTCCTATGCTTTCTTCCTTACAGCTGGTAAGCCATAGCCACTTACCACAGGGCCTCGCCTATTTCTCCTTTCCAACCATTCGTGCTTCCAGGCTGGCATACAGGTTGCCTTCAGTTTCTCCCTGATCATTCGTTCCTCTGGGCGATCGTCCATCTTGTGCAACCCTTTGAGAGTTTCTTTATTCTCCATCTCACGACTAAAACGGAGGGAGAAGCAAAGAAAATGAGAAATGTATGTATGAAAAATAATTTCCAAGAACAAACAGAACGGACAGTTCTATTTTATACTTCCAATGGACATGTAATAAAGACAACTGCTGAAAACCCCAAATGACTTAAAGCATGAAAATATTCTGAACTATATACTACTGACACATATAATGCAGACCTTTGTTCCAATGTAGTTAACAAAATGAAAGCCAAGACATTAAGCACTGTATTAACAAATATATTCACTGAGACTGTTTGTTTTTAATTCTACCACCCAAGCATATAACAAATATTTAGAAGGGTGTATTACTACACTTTATCCCAGGATTTCCAGTAACTTAAGTCAATATAGATAGAAACTGGTGGATATGCTCATTTTTCTGAAATAAGCTCAAAAAATATTTAATAAGTGAAGTGAAACTTAACTGCATTGTCTATGATCCCAAAACAATTTTTCATAGCCTACATGATTAAATTTGTATTTTCACAGAACAGTAATTTCATGACAAAGCACTTGGGGTACTCTACACTTAAAGAATAAAAATTAACCAGTACAAACATTTGATCTTTACTTCATAAAATGATGCGGATTTACCAGAAGAAAACAATCTCTAAACTAAGAACTTTTGAGAATTAACTCTACAGAGTCTAATAGGCAATGCATCAAGCTCACAAAAATCACGAATTTTAAAATACATCCACATCCGCATGAGCATACATGCACACAGAATACGCATAGATTTGAAAACCTGATTCATAAGGATGCAGTTAAAACAACTACACCTTGGGATTAGTAACAACTTAAAACATATGAGGCTAATTTGAATGACTATTTTGAAAAGTCTACAAAGCTAAACAACAGTTTTTTACACTCATAGGAAAAGGAAATACTCAAGGAAATACCACAGACAACAACCTCAAGTTTACTAAAAAGACAAATTCAAACTCCTCTAGGAATTTTCCAGCTTTTTTTAAAAAAAAAAAAAAAAAGGAAAAGAAGAAACTATGAAACTACTTAAAAATTCACTAGAAAGAAAATGGTTAACTGGTTTCACTGAAGCATCAAGACAGTGAGGGAAGTAGAAACCAACATATTAACACCTCTGTATCAGAGACTGGCCTAGATATTTTTAGAAATACAAAGAATACCTAACATTTGGTTTGAAACTTAAAAATGGGTATTAAGACCACAGAGTAGGGCGGGAGTGCTGGCTGACACCTATAATCCCAGCACTTTGGGAGACCAAGGCAGGAGGATCATGAGGTCAAGAGATTGAGACCATCCTGGCCAACATGGTGAAACCCTGTCTCTACTAAAATACAAAAAAATCAGCCAGAAGTGGTGGTGCACACCTGTAGTCCCGGCTACTTGGGAGGCTGAGGTAGGAAGATCGCTTGAACCCAGGAGGTGGAGGTTGCAATGAGCCAATATCGCACCACTGCACTACAGCCTGGCAACAGAGTGAGCCTCCATCTCAAAAAATAAATAAAATATTTCCAACACACACACATGCACACACACACATACATAAATACTGTTACATAGAAGCAATACAATATTTTTTAAAAGTATGAAAAAAGGAGGATTATCTCATCTACTTCTTTGTGTGTGGCTGCTTTTAAAGCTCTGATTATAAAATATAAATGTTGGGGTATTTGTAGAAGAAAGAGTAAGAGAGGGAAGAAGGAAAGAGGAAGCGGGATGGAGGGAAGGGAAGAAGGCAGAGAAGAAGGGAGGAGAAAAAGGAGGGAGAGGAAGGGAGAGAAAAAGAGGTAGGAGTGAAGAACACAGGGGATAATGTGTCTTCCAAAAAATCCATCCTGCTCAGTGGGTACTTACTCCAGGAGGCTCGGCTTTGTAGGGCAACTGAATTTATGTGGTGACTGCATACCAAAAATTCACTTCCAAGTCTTTAGTATGAAAAGTCCTTTCCCCTTACAGTAACAATGTTGCAAGAGGTGGTTTAGTTCCCAGGCTAGTACTCAAAAAAGTGAGCCTCAGAGTGGAACTGCAGTGCATTTTTATACCAGAAGCTCCTGCACTCCCAGACCAAGGTGCTTGATCGTCTTTTCTCTCTCTTCCCTCAAATCTGTTTCAGGAGTATCTCTTCTCTGTTATGCATTTTCAGTTTCTGTTCCTGGCCCCTAGTCAAACAAACAAAGGACGTTCCTTGTCTAAACAAATCTTCCTGGATGGCGTGGCCTTCCTAAAGTCTGATTTGTCTCTTTCCTCTCCATTTGTTTGAAAATACTATAATCTTTTAGACCAATTTTTATTATAAATAACAGGGATGAGCATTGTAGTACCTGAACTTTAATACACATCTGAGATTATTTTTAAAATTTCTTTTTACCTTATTAATGTTTAAGTACTATGAGATTTCTTTTTTCTTTTGAGACGGAGTTTCACTCTTGTTCCCCAAGCTGGAGTGCAATGGTGCAATTGGCCCACTGCAACCTCTGCCTCCCAGGTTCAAGTGATTCTCCTGCCTTCCAAGTAGCTGGGATTACAGGCATGTGCCACCACACCTGGTTAGTTTTGTGCTTTTAGTAGAGATGAGGTTTCACCATGTTGGTCAGGCTGGTCTCGAACTCCTGACCTCAGGTGATCCACCCACCTCAGCCTCCCAAAGTGCTATTACAGGCATGAACCACAACGTCCGGCTGAGATTATGTCTTTAGAATAAACACCCAGAAACGGAAATGCTTGGTAAAAAATGTAGACAAATTAAGACTTCTGATAACATTGGCAAATAATCTTCTAAAAAACATGTCTTCTATCCACACCCCTACCCAGGTCAAAGTGCTAACTTAACCTGGTCTGAACTAGCAACGGGCTCCTAACTGAGCTTCTTCAACTTTGAATCTTACCCAGATTTCACAGTGTAGCTAGGGTTACTTCCTCCATTAAAATCCTCTAGTGGCTGCCCCCTGGGCTTAGACTAAAATCCAAAATGTTTAGCCCAGCCTAAGTGGCCCTGCATTATGTGGTTTCACCTCAATTCCTATCACCAGACCTGCACCTCCCCTTCTTCACTTTCTCAGTAACCCCAAGATCTTTCCTACTCAGGGCTTCTGAACAGGCTGCTTCCTTTCCTGCTTACTTTTTACCGAATTTCTACCCTCTGTCTATGTTTTCCATAATTTCTCAGAGGCTTTCCCAATTTCAAATTAAGAACTCCCAGTTCCATTCCTTCACAGCACTTGTATTTTTCCTTTAACATGGTTAACGCAGTTTGCTAACTGTTCCTTTCTTATGAACTGTAAGCTCCATGAGTGAGGGGACCAAATGTTATATCCATCTATGTATCGAATATCTAACCATGTCTGGCTCATAAGTATGAACATATATTAAGTGAATAGTATTTATTAACTCTGGCAGTGCTACAGCCTTCCTAACTTTAAATTTTAACGACTAGTCTTGTTATTAACTTTTTTAATAACTCTATTTTTAAGACTAAATTTGCAATTTAGATGTTATTCAGAACAATTTTCACTGTTCCTAATCTGCAAATATAAGCCGAAGTATTTTTCTTAGTCTCTTTGTAATAATTATATCATTAATTCTAGAATGTGTATTTTTTTTCACATTTTAATATCTGAAATCTGAATGCCTTTTGTAATCAAATGTTACTGTCATTTAACTGGCAGGTTTTTTTTCCTTCATGGTATATAAAATAATGTTACAACTTATAACTACTGGGATGTTAGAATCAATGAAATATAAAGTAAATCCTATTCTATTTGCCAGGAATAAATCATATCTACTCTTATTAATTTCTCTCTGAAATGGAAACCAAAGTGTGAAATTTTTTGTTACATACTTGTTTTTGTTATAATCCTAACCAATAATCTTCCATAAACCAGGCACATTTAGGGTTTTTATTTTTACCAGATGAGTGTGTGTATGTATGTATGTATGTATATATGTATACAGCAGTGATTTGTCATCCAGTTAAATCTCACAGCCATAGCAGGAAAAAAATATTTTTTTAACCAAAGCTAATCTAAACAGATAGCTATGAAGTCACTGGGAAAGCCATCTCCAATTCATGTTAGTTAAACATGAATGTTTTGGGGAGTTATTTTTGCCAAATCCATCACCTAGAAATATACCTATTTTAAATAAAATAATGGCTTATATACTGTTGACCTTAAAAAAATAACAGATTTTAGCAAAACAATGTATTTTGAGAAACTACCTTGAAGACTTAAAAATAAACAAAATTGTGGTCAGAAAAATATAAGAAATGTAAGCATTGTTGCAGATCAAGCTTTCTCTTCATTTCCAGTTTATTTAGGAAACATGAGGTTTCTCAGTTTTGGTTTCTAGATTCCTAAGAATTTGTGACTGACACAGAACTTCAAAAGAACCCTTACTCCCTGACGTTAGGTTTCTAGTCCTACAAAACTCATCTGCTAAAAACCAAGA